TCAGATTGATTCAAAGTTTTCTATCTAAGGAAAACCAGCTGATTGCATCGACTCATTGACTCTTCAGCAATCCCTCACACTAAGCATGCTTGTAGTGGAGAGGAAAAACTCCCTTTGAACAGGAAGAAACCTCCAGCAGAACCAGGCTCAGTGTGAGCGGCCATCTGCTTTTTTGCAGGTAACCCATGTATTGGAATTCTAAAGCACAAAGAGAGGTTCTACGCGTTTAGCTCTAAAGAGGCGGCTTTGATGTTCGCCTCGTCTCCTGAGGCCTTCATTTCAGAGGTGGTGGAAAAATCCAAAAGTTTCCCAGAACTCTTCCAGCTTCTCAGACTCCATCAGCAGCCTCTCTGCACACATCCACAGTCTCAGGTTGGTCTTTTTCTCTCAGTAACATTCCTCCATCCTTCTGTTCAGTTTCTCTGTCCCTTTAAGTTCTGCTGTGTGGGATCTGATACTTTTTTACCCACTAGCCATAAATCTTCCTCTATGCTTTTGCAGACAGACCCAGAGAAGGTTTTATCCACCATTCCCATCACCAAGCAGGACGCCGGCATTCAAACTGACACCCACCCAGTGGATTCCTACATTGACAAGTCATATGAGTGGAATGAGTGGGAGCTGAGACGAAAAGCCATTAAACTGGTGAGTCCCTGGCGTGTTTACGGTGTAAGGCAGCAGGTCAGACTGACACAATGTTATTGTGTGTGGCTTTGGAACAGCACCAGGCTGGGACCATCACTCTCTATAATGGCACTGTATTCAAGCTGTGGCTTTACATCCAAACTGATTTTCTGTGCTGCATCATGTCTCAAGCTGTTAGCATCAATCAGAGGCGGAGCCAAAAAATATTAATAAGGGTGGCCCGGCAATAACCAATGTACACTGAGGGGCGTCAGAAAGTAGATAGAAGCCAGAAACTCAGGGTCAATCTACACTGATCCAACAGGAAGATAAACTACCACCACATCCATATTTTCTAAATAAAGACTAACTATACTTTCCTACAGCCTTCGCTAACAAATAGATGCACATGTAGTTAAACAGCTATGCAGTCTAAATTAAAGGTCTAGTACACAAAATTCTTTCAGGTTTGAGTTCTTGGGCAAAATCTTATTCATTGTCATCAGTTACCTGCTTTTATCAATAGTGGTTCTGCATAAAATTATATTTACATGTACTAATATCTACATTAAATTGATTACTATTATTAAAGTAGTTATTTGTGTCTGATTTCAATGGAGGCTTAGATGACTTGCGGAGATGCATAATTTTTCCTTTACCCTATAAAACACAAAATCTAGTTCTGAAAAGAGCATGAATACTGTATTTATCCTCTTTAATGTTATTATATTGATCTCCATAATTAATCACAGTTTTTGTTGTCATGTAACTGTTAACATAAGAAAAATGGAAATGTTAAATAAGTTAGAATATTCCACGTGAGCGTATTACTACTGCCACCATCTGTATTCGAAGGCAATATGGTAGGGGGGGCACAGGGGTGGCCAATGATTGGCTGAGGGTGGTCAAAGTGGACAGTGATTGGTTAAGGGTGGTCCTGACCACCCCTGGACCCCCCAGCTAGCTCCACCCCTGCACCAATTCATCTTCTTTTGTTCTAACAAACCTGTTTTGTGCTCTTTATATCTCAGGCTAATCTTCGGAGGACAGCAACTCACTCAGTGCAGACGGATATGAGCCACATGAGACGGGACAATGCTAGTCAGACCTGGCTGCCCAAGGACGCAGCCTGCCAAAGCAAGAGGGACAGTGGGAGCAGCGTCCCCAAACCTCAGATGTTCCTGACAGGCCTGAGGGGACAAAGAATCACCCAGCAGATCAACACAATCCTCACAAGACCTGTTGATGAATAAAGAAAACTTCTGATTAAATAAAAGCTGCTGGTGTTAAAATATTCCTTTCACATCTTGTTCTGGTGCAGGTGTTATTAGATATAAATATATTAAATAACTAGAACTGTAAGTTGTGGTTAATTAATAGGTCATTGTTATGTGTGTCGGGCCCATTAATTATTTATTTATTTTTCCTTCTAGTGTTGCATAGACCTTAGTTGAATCACTTCTTTTTTAGAGTCTTGATAATGTAAATCGATTACGTTAATTTATGGGATATTGGTCCACCTATAAGTAGGCTGGGTTTCCACCTGTTAGTCTCTCTCTCTCTGGATCGGCTCACCAGGTCCAACTTTCTGTTCATACTTTTTTTTACTTTTTTCTTTCTTAGAGTTTTTTTTTTTGGACACGGGGAACTGGGGAACAAATCTGACTCTCTGTTTTTTTGTCTCTTTGCAGAAAAACAAAACACCTGATCTAAAAAGAAGTTCCAGAAATTAAGAATAAAATAATTCTTTTAAACCTCATGTTTGTCTCGTGTCCTCAAATATGTTGTGGCCTGGGTGGTCGTAACAGTCATTCAAATCAAAAAAGCAAAACTAATTAATTATCAGTTGAATGATTATGACTGTGATTTACTTACTGACCAGGCTTTTCAATTCAATTTCAATTCAGTTTATTTCAATAGCGCCAGATTCACATCACGTCATCTCAAGGCCCTTTACAGTTCGCCAGACCATCCAGTCAGATTGATTCAAAGTCTTCTATCTAAGGAAAACCAGTTGATTGCATCGAATCATTGACTCTTCAGCAATCCCTCACACTAAGCATGCTTGTAGCGACAATGGAGAGGAAAAACTCCCTTTGAACAGGAAGAAACCTCCAGCAGAACCAGGCTCAGTGTGAGCGGCCATCTGCTGAGGTAGACTGGGGTTCAAGGAGACAGAAGCAGACATAGAAAAAGAAGCAGAGATACAAAAAGCAGCTGTAAAAGGCGTCCCCATCGAGGAAACACACAGCCAGGCAGACGAGCTCCGAACCAGCTCCCATGCCAGAGAATGAAGAGAGCACATCCAGCCAGTCAGAGAAACAGGACTACACTGAAAAATAGGCCTATCTCCAGCATCTATAAACAAGGGTGTTGATGGAAGCAGCACAGCTGATATTTCTCTCCAGGATGGAGTCACAGCCTATAGCAGCATAACTATAGAGATAGCTCAGGATAACCTGAGCCACTCTAACTATAAGCTTTATCAAAAAGGAAAGTT